AGTTTATCCCATAGGCGTAGGGTATATAATAGATTTTTCTTTAATAGCACATTTAATTGACTTTAAGATTTTGACCTCAAACGATGGGCATTTTGTGTAAAAGTTTTTGTAAAGCCTTTGTCTACGTACAGTGTAGAAAAATTATTCATGCTTGCTTTTCATCACAAGGTTTTTGGCATCTATATTATTTTCTGTTTTTTATATTTTTTTTATTTTTCCCACCTTCTCTTCTTCCCATCCCTATTTTAAAAGTTTTGCTTCTGTTGTTTCGATGAAGAAGCATATCGATTATTTCACTACCTATTAAAAATAGACAGCATGATGAAAAATTAATGTCCTTCACTGTACTCCTGTGTGAAATGTTATGTTTTGTTTTTTTTTCTTTTTCAAATGAGTTATGACAAACAACATGAAATGTGCATGAATCATCATTTATATGCGAACCCCTTGGATTAAAAATTTGAAAAATGCTTATCAATCTATGGATATGTGCTGATGAGAGAAATATGGCTAATTCTACCATCAAAAGGAATGGACACAACATGGGATTAAGCGCTTTTTGTTTCGATGTAAATCTAGAATCTGCATAGAGGACATGATGTATGTGTATTTGGCTTTGAAATCACACTTCCTGGCAACAAAATTGGCCATATCCTCAGTAACGACATTCAGGAGGATAAGGCCATCTCTAATCCCTGCTTAACACATAATCTGTGCAGGGTGTACCATGTGATAATGGGCAGTCTTGCAGTTGTAGTACACTGTAGACGGCGTTAAAAGTGAATGTCTGGGACTGAGAGATGATATGTTGGTCAATCACATAGATTTAAATGGTAGCCTACAAGAAGAATTATTTTCAGAAAATCTGCAGATTAAGAGAGTTGTATGAACCCTCCATTGGCTAAAGGAAATATGTATGCAAGTAGAATCCTGTGGACCCATTCCCTTATATCCTTAACATTATAGAAATCAAATTATCAGATTAGGGGGTAATTAAATCTTGAACAAACTAATTTGCATTCATTTATATGACCACTGTTTGCCTTTAATATGCACAGTTGTTGTGAAAATGTTTTTGGAGTGGGTGAGTCTGGATGGTTTATTTTTTTCCTTCCAAACAGCCTTGAATGCCTTGCTAGACATATTGTGTCAGAGAAAGTACATGTAAATGGATGTAGAAAAAAAAATACAGCTGCATGTAAATTGAGTGTTGTTATACCATCTGCACTCGAACACCTCTGCAAGGTCGTCTGTACTATAATTTATTTCAAATTATATCTACCGTGCAGGATCAAATTTGCCATTTTGTAAAAGCATTATTGTATTCGATATGACTCACCACTTAAATATAGTCCCAGTTATGACATATGATGTTTGCGAGAATTCCTGAAATACAGTTGCCATGCTATGTCAACTCAGACTTTTAGTTTTAGAGTCTTGAAACTCAAAGAAACCGCTTTTTCACAAGAAATCCAAAGTGATACTGATACCAGGCTAAAGCCCAAGGGATGTCTTAAATATGAAATTAGAAACATGTTTCTAATAGCTACATGTATGCTGACATTTCTCTGAATGTTGTCATGTTTCTTAAAATACCACTTGCCTTTTGATTGTGAGTACATCTGAGCTATGCATCCGGAAAATTCAAGACAAATGATACCGTTGTAGAAGTGGTTTCCGGTACAAAACTATTTTTAGCTCAGACAGATGTACCTTGGTTTTCTCCAAACTGATAAATGTTTACGTCATGTTGTTTATGATATTTTTTAGACAGGATTACGAAGAAAAAAAACAAACATTATCTTCCTTCCTCCTCATTCTCCATCTTCTTATACCACTCGCACCACTCACACCGATTCCTCCTCTTTCTCTTCAGCATCTGATTTCTAACTCCAACTCTCATTCCCTTTGTACCAATTTTTAAGTATTATGCCAGTATTCATTAAGCCTGTGTCGGAAATGAAAAGGGATCTTTATTATACTACTTTTTTTGCATATAATACTAGCTGTTCCATATTTTTCTCTTCACTTTCATGACAATTGAGATTATACCTACAATATATAGGAAATTGATTGGCACATCAACCTTTAATGGTTCAAATTCTATTGTACAGGAGCCATTATCATTTCTGTCTATACTTTATCAAAACTAAATTTTTATTTTTACCATTTTTTTTTTGGTGACCTTCCCAGACATCTATATATTATAACTATGAGTAATCATGGCATGAGAACTCAAGCGTAAAAAGATAAACATGGGTCCACAAATACACTCTACCGAGATCCTTGGCTATTGTAGAGGTTCCAATGGGAGAGGTCATAACTCAGCATGTCGATCTACTCAAATAATACAATTTGAACACAACAAATGTCTGTTATTGGTGCGTGGCCTAATTTGCTTCCTCTCAACACGTTTTGAATCCCTGCAGTTTGCCTCCGTTCTTTTATATTCTCTCCCCACCTCTCTCAACCTCTCTCAATTTCTCTTTCCCCTATGTTTTTTTTTCTTCTTCCTTCAGTACAAGAAATATTGCCTTTCATGTATAATTTTAGGCTTGCTAAATAGCCTTAATTTAATTCAATTGATGAAATGAAAGCAGCAAATTTGCTATAGATATTCCAAAATATTGATTTTATTTCACTCTTTGCCTAAGATTATGATGAATTCCTTAAGATAAAATGGAAGAGTAATTTGCCTTTAGAATAACATGAAATGCATGACAGCAAGATAAGATGTTTGCCCATGTGATTGAGAAGCTAAGGGTCTGTTGACATTGTATACAAACATCTTTATCTCTAGACACAACTCATGTCAAATCACTCATTAGAAGGACAATGTTGTTTAAGTTGTCAGACAAAGTGGATCATTGAATTTGTTATTCAATTGTTAATTAACTGTTTTCTTGAAATAGTATTACATCAGCGTGAACAACAAATAGTGTATCCATGTTGTTTTCTGTATCTTCTACATCCCCCCCCCCACCCCCTAGCTGTTGCATTTGAATATTCCTAGACCCTAGTCAATGATTAAACACGCACAAACGATCTTTTATTGAGACATTCCTTGTAGTTGATTCTGTTGCCATATGAACCTACCAGAGAAACGAGCGAGCGCACCCCAGGTGATTGCCCAGTACTCTACTGCACCCGCTCAAAGTTTGAATGGGACAGTTGGTAGACCTCGAGCCAGCCGCTTGTGTACCTCGGATCACACACTAGAACCGATTGTGGCTCTCTCTCTCTCTCTCTCTCATTTTACCGTGTGCTGCATGCTGTAGCTGGCAGAAGTACTGGTAGTCTCCAGAACACTTTTGTGGGGTTTCCCAGACTTGCAAGGAATTATTCATTGGATAGATAAAAATATATTCATGAAGTTGTTTATTTGAAATAGGCTGATTATTCGTGTATTGAAGGTAAGATAGCTTGATTCCATGTTTATTGAAGGTAAGATAGCTTAATTCCATGTTCAAAGTCCATTATGAATGTGATTCTTAATGAAGGGGCATGCCGTGGTGAATGTATTGATCGAGATTCAATGTCATGGAATGGAGTTCCAATGCCTATCGTGGAGGAATAATTCTATTCATATATTATTATGGGAATATTTATGAGACGCTTGTGAAAGACACCATAAATTGCCTCCACACCTATTTTTCTGTGTACTGTCTAGCTTTGTGATTGTGAGTAGTTTGTATTTTTATTCAGTTCCACTGCATACCTTCTTGATTTCTATTAGTTAAATGAACAATGCAGATTTGCGGCTTGATGCTTCTAAAATGTAAATGTAATCTATTTCAAGGTTGGAGTACTAGACAATGTACAATATTGAGTTTTGTGTATTAAAATTTTTGAGGTTTTATTTTGGTATATGTATCGTACATATGCATGTTAAAAGGTTTCTCTTTTTCTTTTCAAGTTTATTTAGGTTGTAAGAGGAAACCCTTTTTGGGGGTAATTTCTCATAAATATTGAAAGAAGCAGTAACCAGACACTACTTATACTTGCACTTAACTAAGGGATTTGTCTCTTTATAACAAATATTGAAATACAGTTTTGTTTTGTTGTTGGGAGGAGGAAGGGGAGAGGTGGGCTGGAAGATACATGTAGATGAATGCCTGCAAGACATAGAGATCCTGTTTTTGTTTTTCAGTCCCCTGAAAATTCTGAACGTGATATGCAATGCATTCCACTGGATGAGTAGATGCACATGTCTTGGCAATATAATTATAATTGGATGTTTATCCTTGAATTCCAACCTATCATTCTCTTGCAACTCAAATATGACCCCATGTATGGTATTTCCAGGTTTATTACTCCAGGTGATACCTTGACCGCAACTTAGAAAAACAGTCATCAGAAAAATTATTTTAATTCCATTATATTTGTCAAAACCATGGGATTGAATTCAACCTATAACCGCTGGCATTGGAATATATGATGGTATTGATTTTTATTCAGGCCTATTCCTCACTTTGAATGTCTGCAGTTTAATACATTTGACGATTTACAGGAATTCCTAAGTTCTTTATGTAGCAGAAGACTTCCAGTATGTTCTCTTCTGCTATCAAATGTTACTTGTTTATAAATGCTGCTGAAGCTTATGCTATGAAAGAATAACTGGAGTCTTTAACAATCTTTCTAAAAGGTAAATACCACCCCCCCCCCCCCCAAAAAAAAAAAAAATAAAAATAAAAATAATAATAATAATAAAAAAAATAAAAAGTACATTCACATTTATGCCTTTACACCATGTGATAAATATTGTTTGGCTAAATTCCATGTACTCACAGTATATTTCAGAGATTATTGGAGTAGACACCGGAAATAATTGTCTGTTGACAGCCTGGGTGTTATCCCTATGTTATATTATATGAATTGAGCCCCTTTTGGCTCTCAACAGATGATATACTGTACTCACCACTCCTTGCTGTCATATGGTAATTGTAAGCTTCATGTGATATAAATGTTATTTTTAATTAATTCTGTTTCTCTCTCATCAGAATTCTCTTGAAGAAGCCAGTCATCATATCAGGAGAGGGCATCTTGTCCATCTAGCTCCCATTCATCCTCCAGGCAAGGTACAGGGTGTGATAAGTTATCTTGGATCAACTCAGGGGCTATCCCTTACCAAGGTCAGTAGTGAAGGCAGTCAGCTGGAAAATGTGTCCTTACTTGAGGTCAGGGATGGTCTGGTCTATCAAGAGTTAGTCTACATCGACCAGACCAGGGTCTGGTGTCCAGTCCTCTTGATAGTAAATCCATCAATTATTGATTGATTAATTTGTTGATTTGATCCAGGCAAGATTAAGGATGTGACACAGTGTCTTGGATCAACTCAAGGGATATCCCTTACCAAGCTTATTCAAGAAGGCAGTCAGATGGAAAACCTGTCCATGCTTTACAAACATTTTAGGTCAGGGATGGGTTGGTCTATACAGGGTAGTCTCCATCCAGCAGACCAGGGTCTTATACGAAAAAAAAACCCCATAATAATACTGATTGATTATAGATTTATATTATATGGTTTGGTTTAATGGTTTAATGGTTCGATGACTTTTAATAAAGCAGGTATTACTTGAAGATATCCCACCAGGTGTACCAATGGCTTTAAGTCCCATCTGACAACCTTGATAATGTGGATTAATACCTTACCAAGTGGCAGTAGCAAAAGTCTAGCATATATCTAACTGATTTTGAACCCTGAACCCCCTGGATACAAACCAGTGCTCAACTACCGAGCCACTATTTTTTTTAATTGTTACAAATCTATATTATTTGAATAGTATTAGCCACAAATTACTGTCATTTCCATCTTGTCTGTGTTTTTAGGGTAACATGAAATGATCATGGTATACTACATACTGTGAAGGCTACACGTATGTACCGGACACATTGTAAAAGATGTAGGGATGAGGTGTTGCTACTCATGTTATTGATGAATTAGTTACCTGGGATATTTTCTCTATTTCTCTAGCTTTTTTCCACTCTGTTTTTCTTTGCCTTTATTCCTCCACAGCTTTGCCATTTTCCCATCATTCTCTGTAATAATATGTCATTACTTGCTGTATGCCTCTATCAATCCAACACAAAATCTTCTCTTTATATAAGCTGTGGGGTGTGTCGTGACATGCATTATTTCTTTTCATGTTTTTTTCTGATCTTGGATTAAGCAATAGAAAGAATGATAATGTCTAGGTGTGCCTAGACAGGATAAAAGGAGAGAAGAATAGCCTTGAAGCTATTTGCCTAATGAAGTGTGCTTCGTGGTGAGAACGTATAAAAAGAAACAAGAATCAAGATCCTGACAGGCGAGTTTACACTTTTTGCAGGTGCAGACTCCTCATTCATTGCTGTGAAGAGGAAGAGATATTCGTGTATACACTGTAGGTACCGAAGTTTCCTTCCCTTCCTGGCATGCTTTACTATACAGTATCTTTGGCTTGTTTTAAGTCAGTTCTCTCCTCTCCTCTTCGTAGAAGGACATATATATCATGAATTATTGAAATCCCTTACATGGACAGGTCAAGCGATTGCAGTAGAATTGATTGGGATGACATCACTAGATGGCGCAGTATTAGGAATAAGGCTTAGAGGTAGAGGGAGAGGTGCTCTGTTTATGAGTCATCATTTTCTCAGGTACATGTAAATGTAGGATATAGTTCCTGCTTCCCTTATCTGAAATAGTGGATCTCTGTGATGAGAGAATCTTATTACAATTCCTAGTTCTGTCGATTATGTGAATGTCGAAAGTTAAAAGAGAAATTCAATCCATTTTATTTTAGTACCAAGTTATAGTTGTTTCATGCAGAGGCTGCACATTATTCCTGTAATTCAGTCCAAACAATATAGCAAAACTCTAAATTTGATACTGTGTAAAGGTTCACATTAAACCTCTAGAAAATATTTGTGTTCAATGTTAACGCCATAATCTTGTAAGTACACAATGATGATACAAGCTACATGCATGTAAGTCCAAAGTACATGTTTGTGCTTTGGCAAAAAATGTATTTTATTTGTAAGGATATATTCTTTTAATTAATCGTTTTAAGACTTCACAGTATCTGGGATTTTCACCAGAAAGAAAATAAGAGAAAGAGGGTGAAAAAATGGTACGAATGAAAGCTTTACAAAAAAAGGGAGATTGTGGTAGATGCACCGACAGAATCTATTTTAGGGACATCAAATTCTCACTCTTTGTAGATGTAATAGTCTAGAGTAATTTGAACTGAACAACACTGCTTCAGATCAGTGCTTGTTTCAGTATGTAGCCGGACAGCGTGGCTCTCTGTGGGATTTTTGAGAAGAATTCCAGCAATTAGTGGTCTGAATTCTGGTTTGAAATCAATCCCTCGCGAAAAGAGATTTTTTTTTTCTTCCAATGATGGAAGGTCAATATCCTCTGCGTTTTTTGTGTAATATCTTTTTTCAAGTCTGGATAGAAAAGTATTTTGAAGTCCTGAGCCTTCGATTTGCCTCTTTATCATTTTTGTAACACTGGAGGTTGCATTAGTTCACTAAATTCATCTGGAGCCAGAGGGTGTTAACTCTTCCTCTTGTCACTGAAAGGTTGTATTAATTCATTACATTTATCAGGAGCCAGAAGGAGTTAATGCTCCTCTGGCTCCAAAACAGACACAACAGAACTACCTTTGACTATGAACTAAAATCAGAAACACTTATTATTTTCTTCTCTGTTTCATTTCTTTAATTACATTACATTAGACCTCTAAGTTCTATATCGCATGGAAAATGTTCTCAGCATTCATTTTTCTACTCCTGTTATAAACCTAAATATAAACCTAAATATAAACCATGATAGAAGTTCTAAGCCTAGTGTAATTGAAAAGATTATAGGTGGAGCTGTTTACATATAATTTCCAATATCTTTCACCAACCTTCTTAACTTAACCATCTTACTCCTGTTGCTCATTACATGTAAGTAGGCCTGTCTGTTCCTCTTCATCCCACGATGTCACTGTCTTTCTCAATGAGCTATAAATCTGAGATGGGGATCTTCTGGGGGTATAGCCCAGCACTCATCACTGAATGAGGGGGGCATGGAGGAATTGGGTTGGCCCTGGCTAAACAGAGCATCTTTCATCTCTTCTACAGAAGGAACTGAAATTGGAGAATCCTCCCCCCTCCAGAACTTTACGAGAAAGCCAGGTTTATTATTCCAGACCTACTCCCTTCAATTTCTCTGCTTTCTTCTAGTAGAGGGTGTATCCAAGCTAGTCTAGCATTGCAGACTGTGAACTTGAATGTGTGTTCTTGCAAATCTTGTGCTCCCGAGTCTCGACTTTGACTTTCATCTAATCATGAAAGAGATTCTACTCATGAATGACTTTTATATAAATATTTCTCTTTCTTAAACCCGCTTTTCTGTGTTCTATTTGCCTGTACATTACCGGTATGTTTCAAGTTTAACGGAACTTTATTGTTTTTGTCATATCTATTTTTGCTTTATCTTGAAATTAATTTAAGCTGTGCAATATATAATGCAGTGTATATTCTACAAAAATAATGTGTAATCACACTTGCAAACTATGTTGATGATTTCACGCGAAGATCAGGATCTCTTTCTTGTATATATACTTTTGATGACATCCTTTATTATCAAAGTTAGTGTGTAGCCTTTCTTTAGCATGTAATAACATAAGAGAAGCAGAGTGATTGGAATATTTTTTCCCCCACATACCTAGGCATACAGCCTATTATCATAATGAGAGCATCTCAAGTCCATCTTCTCAGACTAGCTTTGAGGAACGGAGCAAGGCACGCTTAGCACTACCCCCTCTTTATAGAAATCGTGGGAACAGGATGAATGGGAGAGGGGCCAAGAAGTGATGAACTTGGAATTACCCTTGTAATGGAAGAACCTGTCCCCACTCACCCATTTTTAGTCCACTTTAGCCAAGGAAGAGTACCGGTAAAAGTCAAGCCAATGCTTGAAGTTAGGCAAAAGCTCTTGTATCTGAATTAATGCGTAATGTGTTGGATTCTGGAAGACCTTTGGTAGCCAGTAGAATTAAGGTGATAATTAATGGTGAGAGGTACTGTCCTTTGAAAGACTGAGGATACTGATGGGTTCCATTCGCTCTTCTGTAGCAATGTAAGTAGAACCATCATCTTTCAATACGCTGGCTGTCATGTACAGTTCAAGGGGATCTTCTGCAGTGTATGACTGATACACCCGTAGGCCAAATGTTACATGATTGATCGTGGCACGAGGTTAAAATGTGCGGAAGTCAAGCAACCACAGTAGATTGCTTTTTTTTCTTCCATTCAGATTCACTATGTTGTAAAAACTGAGTACCATCTTGTATTGCAGCAACACATGTAGGCCTGTGTCTGCTCTTGTATCTTGGGATAATTTTTCAATTCATTGCCTGTACAATAATAATAAATAAAAATAATAATACTAATAATAATAATAATAAAGCTGTGCTTATGAAGCACTTACCGCCGAAGTCTCTAAGCTCTACAATGTGTTTGTCTGAATTCAATAATATATTTGTGAATTAACTCATGTGAAGTCATTTCATGCATTCATTTATATCCATCCAAATGTTCTAGCTGAGATTTAAATCAATAATACAGGCCGAAAAACAGCATCAAATTTGCCAGACAAATATTTTGTATGCAGGCCATGCACGTTGCATCTCAAAGAATGTTCGTCGAGTATGTGTAGACTCGCCTTGCGATAGAGGTTTATTGGTTTGTCATTGATGGTTTTGCAATCAGATGTGTCATCACATTAATCAACCAAGAATGTCAATAGCTTCTTAGATGCTGGATCATTGAGTCTAGTCTCAGGAGGGTATGAGCAAGAGAGAGACAGAGAGACAGAGAGACAGAGAAAGGAAGAGAGAGAGAAGGGAAGGGGTTGGGCTTCGTAGGATGTAGAAACAAACAAGACTTTGGCCTCATCTTCCAACCGTGCATAATTTAATGTGAATATTGGTTTAAGCCCCTGGTCTTGGTCATATAATTTGTGCATATGAATAAAATAGTTATAGTAATTATGTTTTATGGTGCATTTTCCACATCCATGTTGTAATGCACTTTACATTTACAGAGTAAGAGAGCCGTTTGAAGACATCATTAACAATTTGTGATGGCCACATGAGAG